AAACTTTCACGAGAAAGTATCAGGGGTATTGCTCGTAACCCCATTATAGTTTTACAATCAATAGGTACTTACAACAGATCCGATACACAACATCACATTCGCACACAACAAATTCAAAAACTTCTTACAAACATGGACATAATCCAAAGACAATAAATAGGTCAGAATTTGAGAAAAATTGCCAAAACCACAGGATTTTGAGACATCTATGCACAAGACTAAAGCGGATACTTTTGAAGGTATAAAAGATTACATATATTTAAACTGTGAAAAATGCAGTCCACAAGATATTTCACCTTTTAAAAGTTTTTTAGCTTTGTAAGCTTCAAAAATGAACTTAACGCCTTTCTAGGATGACCCTATTACATTTTAGAAAAAATAACTATGTTCTACGCTATGTGTAATTTTTTTGGTTTTCTCTTCTCATGTTTGAAAGGAATTTGGAACACATGCGCAAAACACACACAAGTCAACAAACAAGCAAGTCTAGCACGCATATTGTTAGCAGGATTTTCTGGTATATTTTCGAAGTCGAATTATAAATTTCTTTCAGACGCTCAAATAAGCAAATACAATAAACAAATTATCAACGCATTCTCAATTATCAAATTCACCATTAGCAAATTCCTCATCATTATCAAATTTACCAAACGCATACGATATTCCATAAGACAACAGAAATACAACACCTACTGCACCACAATTACACAATTTTCATAATTACCATCCATTATCTTTAGTACCATGAAACTATAAAAAAACTGCAATAACAGAGCGCATCTCAACAAGTCATAGCTACCCACAAAACCCAATTACTCAAATAAGAGCCCATCATTCAAATATAGAAGACTGATACGATTACATTGTAGAACAGCCACACACCACTAGATTTAGTTCTCATAACAATCATCTTTTTAGCCCACGGTGCGCCGGAAGATTGTTTCCCTTGACCGTTCCCTTTATTACCAATCCAATCTCAATATCAATTTGTGACTTCACTTCTTCTCCCTTGCCATCATTCACTACTAATTCACCACGCATGGAATCTGATGGTTCCACAAATACAGTTTTTCATACCATCTCACATTTTAAAAATTCCGATATTGACACCCCTGATGAACTTCAGAACCTCGAGCCCAGCCCGTCCATTTTTTCGCAACCCCCTTCCGCCACTCCACACTCCAACTCCCGATGAACCATCCCCAGCACCTTCTTCCTACGCCGACGCAGCCCCAATCCTCTCCTCAATGGAAAGTGATCAACCCGACCCCCCCAGCCCTTTCAATGAAGAACTAGAATACGAGCTTGATAATTTCATTACCTTACATCAACAGGTTCAAAAAACTAACACCTTAACACTTCATCATTTATCACAATCCTGTTTCTCCTCCGAGTCCTCCAACCCAGCCTCCACATTAGAAGAAAACCGAGCCCACCGAGTATTCAAACGAAAGCATCCAAATACCTAAATACTTCACCACTCCCGACCACCCTGACTAATTTCCCCCCTTCACTCACTCCACACAAAGACCAAGGAATTTTTAAAATATAGCTTACCCTTCTTTCCACAATATATTTACTATCAGACCACTAACAACGACCAACGAACTAACACTTCACTAACCCACTAGCACTCCTCTTATACAATAACCCAGCTGACATTGAAATATATCAGTCCCGACTACATCACCTAACCGCAGCACTGCATGAAAAACCACTCACAACCATAAGACTAAAGCAAACACTATATATATATATATTTGTTGCACAAAAAGCAAACAGATTTTCAATTAAACACTATGATCACGCTATTGCACGATATACGGAAGATACAATCTTGGAAGAAGACAAAAACACTAGTCCCCAGCTGACTGAAATTTTTTTAATGAAATTACAATATGTATTTGTCATTAACAGCATGATTAAAAAATATGATAATGTTAATTCTACACCACTCCGAGACACCAAAGCTTATTATTCTTAGCTTAACAAGTTTAATCAGTTTTCACTAATTTTTAATTTCCTCAAGTTAAAATAAGGTGACTTGAACTGCTCACATGAGAAAATCTTACGCACTAAACTAACCCACACATACACCTAATATAAATTTATTTAACACCACTACATAACTAACACACCATCACGAAACCCACAACACAGATTCACATTCATTAACTCCAAATACACATCACCATACTTTCTAAACTTCACTTATTGTATAAAAATACTAACATGCAAGCCATCCTCCAAAACTATGACCTCATAAGACAATTGTTTATATTCTGCCCACTAATCAAATGTTTTTATGTTGAAAAATCCCACCCACTAATCGTCCCCCATGAATATCTACAGCCCATCCTAGTCCAAATTCTAGAATACATTCACAATACTAAATACAATCACGAGCTATATAAGCTAATCCAAATTACACTGCCTGAATTCTCACTCAATAGTGAAGCGCACAAAATCATCCGAGAACTCGAGCCTGTATGGCATCTCCTTCAAAATAAATACGTCATCCACATGCTAACTAAGCTCCTCACATCATCAGACACTATTCACACTGATTTCCCAATTGGATTTTTTTGCCGACGACGACCCTTTGTAAGTATAATTAAATATTTACACTAATAAAGTTCAAAACATACTAACCATTCTTTATATGTGTCTCACTTTTCTTTTTTAGTTTCCCCCATTAAATCATCTAAAACAAAAACAAACAAATAAAAAATTGTTAACTCTTTTCTATAAAGTTTTCAAATTCAATGTAACAGTCGCAGTGTGTTTTTGAAGCAGTAAAACTCTTTTTTCCAAAGCAATTTATTTATAAATTTAAACTTCCATAGCAGTAAATTAGTACTTCTATGTAGTAAATTCATTTAAAAAATGCGAATAATTTAAAGCGAATTAATCTTTTTACAAGACGCTTCTTTTATAAATCTGAATCGTTCACTCGCCCATAAATCACACACTCTTTCCAAAAACGCACAGTTCGCCCATGAAGTCACGAAGAGTTGTTTAAATAATGAATTCCAAGTTTTAACTTTCACTGATAACAACTCTAACTTGTTTTCACACGTTTCAACTTTTCCTTTAACCCGGTTTAAAGGAATTATATAACAAGCTAAACTAACCAACGCAACTTACTAACGCCATAAACCACAATCTAATAATATGACTTGGAGAAAAAGTCCCAAGGTACCCAAACCGGATCAAACCCAGATTAAAACTGGATAAATTTTTCTTTTGAAAGCCACTTTCAAGTTTATTTGAAACCAAACAAAACACAAAACAGTCGAAAGACAAATACAAAACAAATGATTGTACTTTTGAGAAAAGGACACATCCAAAACAAAAAAGAGAAAAACACGTAATGAAAATGTAACAACAGGATGAACTTATAAAGAGACTCTGCACAAAGAAACCATAAAATATAGCCCACTCCTGGCCTCACCAGAAGGACGTCCTGAGCATGCTCTATAGCCGGCCTAACCCACCGCGCTACAACCAGACTTGGTGACTCACGCTCTATTTGTGACGAGAGTTGCTTTAGGGTGAACGACTCTTTAAAATAACAAAACTAAAACAAAAACGCTTCTGCGATAGCAATAAATCATAACTAAAAATAAAACTTAACTAACAAGATGTGAATATATAAATGCAGTATTTCAAAATTTCTTAGAGCCCAAGGAACGAACAGCAAAGGAGATGACAACCCGACTACATTCCAACTCTGGAATGGCAAATCTATTTGGTGTGCTGCCAAAGTCACTACCCTCAAAGGATTTTAAGTACGGACTCAACATCGCAGCAAAGAAAACACATTGAATCAGACCAAGAACCATCTTGATGTTGATCTCACATACCGATCCTAGTCGCTGGCACTTCACACGGGTAAGTCAAAGTTCACCCTACACGTAGTCTCGCCCTAAACTTAATGAAAACGATACATCATTGCATCGATCAGAAGTCTTGACACAATAACCCAAGACTACCCACGATCAACGAGATCCATCTTGAAACACGAAAAAAACCTTCTTCCATCTACACAAACAACTACATCTCTCCTCTCTCCAAGATGTCACTGCTCACATTCTCCAAAGACAACTACATCACCCGTCCTTCACTGCAAAAAAAAACAATTAAAAACTAAAAATTCTCTAAACCCCGGATGAGTGGAAACAGTTCTAACCTAGTACTTATACACCAATTTTATTATTGATAAATTACCTCTCTAAAATAATACTAACTAACCAATCATATTCCATCTCTAACATTGACACTTATTTTTAAGTGCTGAAACTACTTGTAGTTTCAGCACAAGAACAATTTGAATAAATCTTAGAAAATAGTTGTTCTCCTTCTGGATAAACTCCAAGAACTAACTCGCGAAAACCAGTATACACTAGATCTATTGAGACTAGGAGATATAAGAGTAAGACTAAGATTGGTATTAGACTAAGAAGTTGCACGAATCTATCCGGCCGAAAATAAGATAGCGTGACGAGCAGACGGTGTACCTTATCTGAAATTACTCTATAAGTACAGGCCAAAGGTCATAACTCACTATACAGAATGAACGTTGATGCTATTTCATATGTGCTTTTGGATTGATAGGGTTTTCGATCCGATTTTCGGCTCCGGAGTTTAGAATATCTTTAGACTAGAATGTGATTTTCCACTAACCAGGTACCACAAAAAAAAGATGAGGTCGAAAGTTATATCATATTAATAAAGCTCTTTCAAAAACAATTCGAGCTGCAATGAGATGTTCGGAGGATTTTCATCCGAAATAACCGAGTTAGAAGTTTTCGCTTTCCGACCAAAGTATAAAAGGCAAATTTAGCAAGACAAGTAGAAACGGTAAAAGTCACTATTTTTTAGTAAATTAAAACAACTTCCCATGAAACTACTGCTACTGATGACCGTTACACCTACGGGAAATAAGTTTAACGTCTCACCCTGGATATTCACTCTTGTTTATCCTTAATTTTGTCCAGATTCCTCTCCACTCTTGTCTTCATCCTTCCAAACGAAGGAGGCGAAAAGGTCGGCTATATCATGTCACTGTTCAACACACAGACATTCAACATGGTCATGATAAGGGCCTTCATACCCATCAATTCTGTTCAGGTAACACATATATATATATATATATATATAATTTTTATTCACGCTCCAATATTTGTTTTCCATTCTTATCATTTTACACCTGAGCAGTTACTATCAGTAGTCAATTTTTCAGCTGTTTAATGCTTTTGAGAGGTGTCGAATAGTACATTTATACTTCCGCGCTCGAGTCTTTGACTGATCTCATGTCTAGGTCCACCTATTTTGGTAAACTTTTAAATGTCAAATATTTTCATTAGAAAAGTTCGTACTTGTTCAGTTTTATTGTCATTAGCATGCTAGTTTACTCTAGGTGCCTATAGTAAGCCAGTACTGCTTTGCATCTACACTCATAATCTGGTTCTCTCTCATCATCAGCATAGTCGGACTTGCCGCCCATCACTCTACAGAAATTTACGACTACTTTTCCGACAGACGACAACGCAAAATTTATCAGCTATTCGCAGTCGCTGCAAGGTTCCTCTTTGTCCCCATTCCGATGGTGAAGAAAATGAGACGCGAGCTTCCGAATGAAATTTTTGAAATAAGCGACGAGCTAAGGTCCGAAATATATTCGGACAATACTTCACTACCGAGACTAGCGTTTGAAGTTTTTCGATTAGAGCGAAATATTTTCGAAAATTCGAAAACGAAGGAAACTCTGGTCGAAACTCACAAAGAAATTTGGAGATTTTGCATTCGATGTATTGATCGAGCAGGTGCAATTGCTTTTCTGATAGTGAATATATTGGCACTTCGTTTGGTTGTACCATACTATTTACAATGACCCAACACCTACGTTTGATGCAAGTAGCTTTATTGCTGTTCCCTGATTTGCAAAAAGCTTTGTATAATAGGATTTTTTCGATGCAAGTTGAATACCCGACAAATAAAGTCGTCGAGTAATATATTGTGTCCAAACCCTTTCAAATTTGATTCAGAGTGCATTAAAAACATGAGTCTTTTTCAGATTATGATATTTTTCACATTTACATTACTCCATAATGTAATTTTATCCAATTAAGAGACTATAATTACTTCATACGTAACTAAAACCAGTTAAATTAACTTTTTGAAGCTTGATTTCTTTCCTAATCTTTTACAAAAAAAAACGATGAAAAATCATTTAAAGTATTGAAAACTGTTTCATAGAGCCAGTCAGCTGAATTATCAACACTGGACATTCATGAAAGGAAAGATAAAAATGAACTTTTCTAATGAAGAAGTTTCTTTTTAATGAAATATCATGTACGTATTTCTCATTGAGACATCAAAATGGAATATAAATCCTTTTCAAATCTTTTCTTTTTTTATAAAATTTTTTTATTGCAAAATTTAATTTCTTAGTGAATTTAAAGTTTGAAAAATGAATTATAATGGATTTCTGTTCCATTTTGATGTCTAAATAATAATAATGTACATAATAATTCATTATAAAGAAATGTTTTTCGATATACTTTTAAGCTCATCAATTTGCTGATTGATAATGGACTATAATTTGTATTAAATTGATCCAAAATGTTCTCAACTTTGACGCCTGCTAGAGGTACCTTTTTGTAAGAGTTTAACTCTCATACTATTCACTCCCCGGAAGTGAAAAATTGAAGGTTTATCAAAACTTCTGATCTTATAATTTCTATAGATGGGAACTTCTTGTCATACAGTTCCATTATCATTTCAGCCTACAGAAAATATAAAAAATTTCTATGATAAACGTTCTCCTATATACATCAAAACTGTCTGACTGTTTTTTCAAATCTAAAATTTATTTTGCTCTGCATTTCGAAAAAGTGAGATTGGTTTACCTTGTATGCAAAAACTTCCAAGTTTGGAGTAGAGAAAAAATCTGAGACTGAATTTTCAATTGTAGCCATGCTAAAAAAATTATTGTTGTATAGAGAGTTGCAAAAAGTTCGGACAGACAGAAATAATTAAAAAGAGCAACTGTCTAGACATCAACTGAAACTAAAACTGAAATAAACATAACATCGAAAGTTCATAAAGCAGAGTTACGGGATCTACTTAACAATTCCCACTTTCAAGAAAGGGGAGGAGATTGTTAATTAAATTACTGGCAGCGAACTTTCGACCAATCAGAATGCAGCAAAATTCGAGTTAACATACAATGCTCTAGTGCGAATTTACTGTTTTTATTCACAGGGGTAGATATTATTTAGTAAATACAATAGCGGAAGGGAGGGGGGGGGGGTGAGATTGTTAAGTAGATCCGAGTTTCGCTCAAATTCTATAACCACGGCGGGCAATTGCATCCGAAGCGTCGAGCTGTTTTGTAGTAAAATCTGGATGTTCATCACAGTATTTAAAAATTAGGCTAGCATAATCATCGGATAACCGACAATCTCGCATTTTGAATTTGGTCTGACAAAAAATTCAAGGTTGTTCGGCTTCTGATTTTGCATGCAAAAAAGCGTCGAAAAGCACTGATTGCTCATTTTAATTAATTCTGTCTGTCCGAACTTTTTGCTACTAATTATATTTTGCAGGTTAACAGTGTGATAAAAACTTTTTTTACAATTCATGCATAAACTGAATGATAGCTATTTTTCGTTTATGGTTTTGTATGCCAAACTGAAACAACAGCAGTTCGATTCTTCTACAATAGCAATGCGGCGCTTCAAGTGTCAGTGAAGGATTCTGAGACTGAGGAAAGTCTTCAAAAGTGATAATAAAACGGGGAACACTTGGGTGAACATATCGTTATTTTTCCACTGTCAGTCGTTTCACTTCACTGACATCATCGCGATTGGTGCTTCAAATTGAAACAAAAACAGCAAAACCAAAGGAGAACTTGAAGCAATCAGAAACTAATGGTGAATATATCATCGCTACAGCTATAACTAATGCAAAGGAAACGTAATCAACACTTACCAAAACTGAGGAGGAACACCCAACAACCTCACTTCGAAGCAATCAGTCAGCAAGTTTAAAATTTAGTGACGAGTCTTACTCAACGAATCTTAACCGACCCGTTTTAATCAACAACTGAAAAAGTCATAATTGAGGAAGTTTTACAAAGCTGAGATGGAACTGAAACGGAAACGGAAACCTTCAACAAGTCCGCATAATCGGTCAAATAGCTAATATAACAGAAAATCAAAAGAGCGCTTCTACCCCGAACAGTATAACATACAGAAAAATTTTAGAATTAACTCAATCAACACGATTGGTCTCAACAGACCAGAACAACCAATTGAAATTCATAATGAGATTCAACGAGAAATTTATGGAATTTTAACGCTTTGCAAGAAAGAGAGTAAAAAAAAGATATTCATTCAATAATTGTGGACGTTTTTTTGATATTTTCATCTGAAATGGTTCAATGTACCTGTCATACCCGTTGGTATGCGCGATGTTAAATACTGAATCCGAACGGATTGGCTAAGTAACTCTGTAGGACAATTAAGAGAATAAATAAGACAACTGACTCTTAAAACAGTTTATTTCTCTTCTGATGCTAAATCACTTAACTTAATGTTTAGCCTTGTGTTGCAAGGCCACTTGACCAGCTCAACGCAGTGAGCCTAATAAATAACTATATATTAGGGGTTAGGTACGAATGCAAAACCACTGTTTCTTAGTAGCCGTGGTTGTTTGCCTTTCGTTTGAACGCACGCCGTATGTGGTGTGTAGGTTAGAATTTTCCCATCAATCGTTTTGTATTTTTGTTCAAAAGTTTTTGGGTCTTTCACCTTCGTAGCCAATCTAATTGTTTTTCTTGCTACTTGTTCCACCTTCCTTTTTATTACAGGATCAGTTTGTTGTTGAATGCCTTTATATCTTAAGTTTAATCTTTCTTTTTCTAGTGCCACCGCTTTTCTAGTTTTCACTCCTGTTGTGACGTGTGGTTGATTTTCCACAATTCCATTCTTTTCTGCAAAAATATGTTCTGGTATTCTGCGTTTGATGCACAGCTCGTCCTCCGACCACATCTGTAGGTCGTGTATTATTTCCGCTGGGATTGGCGGGTGAGTTAGGTTTTTCGGATCTAAGCAAGTGTGTTTAGCGTTCTCCCAATTTAGGTTACTAGGTGAACTATTGGTTGTTATGTTTGAAAGTGGTGTATTAGCTTTCCTGCCCAAATGCGCTTCACAAGTTGTGATTTTGGTTGTTCCGTGCGGAGTTATTCTTGATGTTTTGATTATTTCCGCCACTCTTGATGCAATTTTGAACGGTGTATTATTTGAGTCAATTTTCATGACGCCAAGTCATAGTTTCAATGTTTGCATCAACCGTTCTACAATACCAATGGATCTATGGTAGTCCACCGGCGCAAACAATAAATTTATGATGTTTGATCTACAAAATAGTTGGAATTTTTTTAGCGCGAAACGTTTGAGCTTGATCGCACCTTAACGAGCGAGCCACCCCATTGTTTGAAATGTATAATTGCATAAATTTTAATGCAACGTCCGCTGTTGTGTTTGTAACTACCTTAGCCGTTGGGAATTTTGACCACTTATCTACTGTCACTAAAATGTAAACGTCTCTATTTAGCTCGTCGGGGAGTGGTCCCACAAAATCCAATTGGACCTCTTCATTCGGTTCAACCACCGGTTCCATTTGTAAGGAATGTTGTTTACCAATATTTGATTTTAGATTTTACCTTGTTGTGTGCATTCTTGACTTCTTTGCGCCATTTGTACTATGGTTTTGTGTATATGTGGGAAACAGATATTTTGGCAGAGGTCAAGCATGACCGCAGACCCGGGATGCGTGAGGTGTAGGCTGTCCAGTACAGTCTGCCTGAGTTGTGTTGGTAGGACTATACGGTCGTCAATTAAGAGGCAGTCGTCTTTCACATGTAATCGGTTTCGTATGTTGTAACAGTATCCGCCAAATGACAATTTGAGTGCGTCCCAGTCCCGTTTCCGGACGAAGTTGACACGCGGTCTGAGGTTCTCGTCCTTTCGGGTGGCCGCTGCGATGAAGTTAATACCCAAAACTTTTTGAAGTTTTCTTCTATAGAGTAGTGCACCCTCTTCCTCTGTGTTTGTCGCCCGGTCTTTTGTGGCGACAATTTCGTTTACGATGAGATTGTGGCTGGCTTCTAATTGAGTTGTTGTCATAGTGAATGGTTCGGTGTTTGGTAGTAGTTCGTCATGTATGTTGGCGTTAGGGTCCACGCGGCTTACGCAGTACTCGTACGTTTTTTTGTTTCGATCGAGAGATCTGTTTGAATGATTGCTTTAACCGGCATACTTGTTGTTTGCGTGGCAGTTGTGGAGGTTGTTTTCTTGACTGGGGGCGTTTTCTTACTAGATCCCTCTGTTGAATCGGTAAACACTATCTTTGGGAAGGTTGCTGGTTTTCGTTTTATGTTCTCTCTTGCGTTCTTGACGGCATCTGGTTTTGGTTTCGACTGTTTGCTTGGTGGTTTTTATGCCAACGCGGATCAGATACGCTCTCTTCTCTGTCTGAATCCCCTTGCCATTTGTTTCTCATTAATTCTCCTGGTGGAGTTCGTTCTTTTTTTTGTTCTTTTGGTATGAATCCTCCCGTAAATTTTCTCATTTGTTTTCGCATTATTTTAGGCTTTATTTTTTTGAATTGATTCTGGCGTTTTAGAGCGTAAGTTTTTTGATTTCTGGTGTTTGACTGATATTCAGAATGAGATGTGAGCGAATGCATCTGATATCGAATGCATCTGATATCGACATAATGGATTAATTATCTCTCTGTAATTCTTCTCATCCGTTTCGCGACGTGAAGTCTGCGAACGTGACTGGGTCGTTATCATTATTTTCCTGATGTTGACGTTCATTTTCATTTTGTGGATCATTTTTTTCAGTATTTTTGAAGAAAATTTACTTGATCCGAACGGCACACTTTTGCGATCAGTCCGCGTTTTGCACAATTCGTACAGGTTTTGTCTCTGGCTGGATATGATTGTAAGTAATTTGTGCCAAACTAGTTTCCAAATTTGTAACATTGTTTTTGTGTGGTGTAATTTTGTGACACTCGGTGTTATTTCCTTGAAATGATTGGGACGATCCGCCACGACCTCCTCTGGGTTGGATATATCCTATAGG